AGGGCTTTTTTCCCTGTCTTTTCTCAGCCAGTTCCTGGAGGGCGCTGGGTGCCCAGGGGAGGGGGGGTGAGAGCAGATCCCATGTCCCCAGGTGGGGTGGCAGCGAGACAACCAAGGGCACACCCGACACGGGACTACCTGTGTGTTTTGGCCCTTGGACTGGCCCGCTGTCCTGGCCACGCTGGCCGCTTTCACACAGCACCTCGTGCTGCTGTCCCCAGCTCCCACCCCGGCTGGGGGGCACCAGTCTCTGCCAGGGGCATGAGAATGGTGTTTTGTCCCCCGGAGCGATCCTGCCAAGAGGCTGATCGAGCACACACAGGGCCCTTTCAGCGCGGGGACAGGAGGGCGGTGGCATCTGGGAATGCAGGGAACAAAGGGCCCCATTGATGCTGGCTGCAGCCCCGCGGGTTTCTGTGAGCCGGGGCAACGCCAGGGGTGCAGGCACAGCTGTGCACAGAGCTGGGGCAGCAGCAATGCATGAGCTTAACCTACCCCAGCCAGGCTGCATGGGAAGTTTTGCTGCCTGCTCAGAGGGGGCTGGAGCTGGGGGAGGGTGGGATTTGGGCTAGAGTCCCATTTAGGAAGAGCAGCAAGGGTCCTGGCTTTGGGTAGGTAACAGCCTGCAGGCTCTCAGCCTGCCCTGCCACTTCATGGGCACTAGTCATGCCTGAAGTCTGTCTCTTGGGCAGATCTGCTGCAAACAGGAGCAGTGCTGGGGTTTCAGTCCAAAGCCGGGAGCATCCTCACTCACTGGAGGCTCCTGAGCACAGTCCCTGGGGGGAAAAGTCCAAGAGGAGCAATATTTGAATTGATAATTCCATAGCTGCTCTGGAAACAATCATCTAAGGGCAGGGTCCATCTGGTCAGGGGCAGTAAGACACCAGCTGATGACCTGGCTGCACACCAGCACTGTGCAACCTGTTAACAGCCATGTGGCAAAGGGTGTGCAGCCACCAAGAGGGTGCATGGACAGGACACAGGGCTCTGGGATAGTCAAATCCATGCTCACGCCTAAACAAGACAGTCCTCTTTCACTCAAGGCTTTCTGCAGGTGGGAAAACTGCACATCCTGCGTGGCTGTGGATGTGCTTGTACCATGTACATTGCCTGAGGCAAGGCAGGGATCTTTGCTTCACCCCTGCTGATTAGTTTTGTTCTGGTCGTGCTGTAGGAGCTGCATCAGGAGCCATAACAGAGGCTGTCACTGCATAGGCTGAGTATTAAAGGGCAGCAGCACATAAACAAACACGAGCAAGTGGCTCCTGCAAGACTCCAGCTTTCCTCTGGGTGGCTGGAGGAGAAAATAGAGGGCTCCCCAGCTGACAACTAAGATTTTGAAGTCAAGGTTATGAACCTCATGTCTGGAGTGGGAAGGAGGGGTGGGCAGAGTCCTGTGGTGGCTGCTGGTCCACACATGGAACTGGCAAGTGCTGCCCTGGAACCTTCTGTCCTGCAGCCTCCTCTTCCCTGCCTGGGAAAGCCAGCATAACAAATGGACAGACAGATGTATGCATTGTTCAGAATGTTCTTAAGTTTAATTTATTTTCTTTAATTTTTATAAAATACATCTTGTAAGATAAGTCTCTAAAAACTTGCTCCTTTTTATTGCTTGTTAACAAGTTGAAATTCTAGATCAGAAATGAAGGAAACACTTTCAGTTGATTAACTCTCTTTTGGTGTGTTTGTGTGTGTGTGTGCACATGTGTCCATGTGTGTGTGTTTGGGGTCTGGGGATAATGGTGGGAAGGAGGATCTGGTTACTTTTTGTTAAATGGATACAAAAAAACCCCAGCAAAACCCCAAGAGAGATAGTGTTGATGTGAATTTCCAGATCTTGACTGGTTTCTCCCCACCCTGCTGTCCCTCCTGCCATCTCCCCCCACCCCAGCCCGTGTGCGTTGGTAGCCTGGCCAACCTATTTCAGCATTCCTGGTGGCAAGGATCCTTCAAATGCTCTGCTCAGCAGATCTGCTCCTTTATCCTTGCCTCTGCTGAAACTGGCACTTTAAAAAAAAATCGTAATAATACAGACAAGAAGAAATAAAATCCATGCAAGATGGAGCTACAGTCTGCCACTGAAAGTAGTTTCTCCAATAAATAAACACCAAGATTAGCGTTAAGAAGAGGCAGGAAAGAGCAAAACGAAATACCAACTGGCAGGGAGGACTGGAAAGAGCATTTTGGCAGGTCTGGCTGGACCCATGCTGCCCAGCCATGGAGAGTGATCATGGGGGAGAGGTCACCTCCACCAAACCCCTTGCCCCACTGCCCACCTCCAAGGGAAAAGGCTGAATTGGCACAAGAAAGGATCTGGTTTGCAGACACAGGCCGTGTTTCTGCTCTGTGACCCCCAAACCACTGCCTTTCCTTCCCTCCTCAACTGCTTCATGGGTTTCAGCTGGAAGTGAGATGCTGCCAGTCCCTCCCACCCCGGCAGACACGAGACAGTCATCCTGACTTGCAGGAAACATGGGGGGGGGAGAAACGTGAGGGAGGAGAGAAGGGGGGGACAGAATGAGGGGCAAGTTATGTTTGACATTGGTGAGAAACAAACCGAGCTCTCCGGCGCAGCGGAGGAAACTGCATTTTGGCAGGTCTGGCTGGACCCATGCTGCCCAGCCATGGAGAGTGATCATGGGGGAGAGGTCACCTCCACCAAACCCCTTGCCCCACTGCCCACCTCCAAGGGAAAAGGCTGAATTGGCACAAGAAAGGATCTGGTTTGCAGACACAGGCCGTGTTTCTGCTCTGTGACCCCCAAACCACTGCCTTTCCTTCCCTCCTCAACTGCTTCATGGGTTTCAGCTGGAAGTGAGATGCTGCCAGTCCCTCCCACCCCGGCAGACACGAGACAGTCATCCTGACTTGCAGGAAACATGGGGGGGGGAGAAACGTGAGGGAGGAGAGAAGGGGGGGACAGAATGAGGGGCAAGTTATGTTTGACATTGGTGAGAAACAAACCGAGCTCTCCGGCGCAGCGGAGGTTAGAGAAGCAGATGTCACCCCAGAGAAGAGCACCATTGTGAAGGGACAGGAGGGCGCAGCGAGCGCGGCAGGAGCGGCGCAGTCCAGAGGGTCATCCCTGCCTGCAGAGGGATGGCTCTGGCTTTCTGCTCCCCGGGCACGGAGCAGAGAGGGGTGTCACCTCTCTGTCAGACCTATCTGCCGCCTCTCAGCTGCCTGGAGGGTAAAGCCAAGAGTCCCCCTTGTCTACAGAGACACCAAACTCCTTTAGGCTTTAATAGGGACAGCTGGGTTAGGGCTTTATGAGCATTGGGGTCAGCACTCTCTTCTCCGCAGTGGGAAGATCCTTGCCCTGAACTCCCTTTGCCTTGGCCACAGCAGGCAATTTGGGGTAAATTCATCTTTCTTTGCTAAAGGAAAAAAAAAAAAGAATCCTTCTTTTATTCTCCATCCATGGGTGGTGATAGCAGACAGCTCCAGGAGAGTCTCTAGCAATGGTACCAGGACTGGGTCAACTTCCTTTTCGAATGTTCTTAATTTTAATTTATTTTCTTTAATTTTTATAAAATACATCTTGTAAGATAAGTCTCTAAAAACTTGCTCCTTTTTATTGCTTGTTAACAAGTTGAAATTCTAGATCAGAAATGAAGGAAACACTTTCAGTTGATTAACTCTCTTTTGGTGTGTTTGTGTGTGTGTGTGCACATGTGTCCATGTGTGTGTGTTTGGGGTCTGGGGATAATGGTGGGAAGGAGGATCTGGTTACTTTTTGTTAAATGGATACAAAAAAACCCCAGCAAAACCCCAAGAGAGATAGTGTTGATGTGAATTTCCAGATCTTGACTGGTTTCTCCCCACCCTGCTGTCCCTCCTGCCATCTCCCCCCACCCCAGCCCGTGTGCGTTGGTAGCCTGGCCAACCTATTTCAGCATTCCTGGTGGCAAGGATCCTTCAAATGCTCTGCTCAGCAGATCTGCTCCTTTATCCTTGCCTCTGCTGAAACTGGCACTTTAAAAAAAAATCGTAATAATACAGACAAGAAGAAATAAAATCCATGCAAGATGGAGCTACAGTCTGCCACTGAAAGTAGTTTCTCCAATAAATAAACACCAAGATTAGCGTTAAGAAGAGGCAGGAAAGAGCAAAACGAAATACCAACTGGCAGGGAGGACTGGAAAGAGCATTTTGGCAGGTCTGGCTGGACCCATGCTGCCCAGCCATGGAGAGTGATCATGGGGGAGAGGTCACCTCCACCAAACCCCTTGCCCCACTGCCCACCTCCAAGGGAAAAGGCTGAATTGGCACAAGAAAGGATCTGGTTTGCAGACACAGGCCGTGTTTCTGCTCTGTGACCCCCAAACCACTGCCTTTCCTTCCCTCCTCAACTGCTTCATGGGTTTCAGCTGGAAGTGAGATGCTGCCAGTCCCTCCCACCCCGGCAGACACGAGACAGTCATCCTGACTTGCAGGAAACATGGGGGGGGGAGAAACGTGAGGGAGGAGAGAAGGGGGGGACAGAATGAGGGGCAAGTTATGTTTGACATTGGTGAGAAACAAACCGAGCTCTCCGGCGCAGCGGAGGTTAGAGAAGCAGATGTCACCCCAGAGAAGAGCACCATTGTGAAGGGACAGGAGGGCGCAGCGAGCGCGGCAGGAGCGGCGCAGTCCAGAGGGTCATCCCTGCCTGCAGAGGGATGGCTCTGGCTTTCTGCTCCCCGGGCACGGAGCAGAGAGGGGTGTCACCTCTCTGTCAGACCTATCTGCCGCCTCTCAGCTGCCTGGAGGGTAAAGCCAAGAGTCCCCCTTGTCTACAGAGACACCAAACTCCTTTAGGCTTTAATAGGGACAGCTGGGTTAGGGCTTTATGAGCATTGGGGTCAGCACTCTCTTCTCCGCAGTGGGAAGATCCTTGCCCTGAACTCCCTTTGCCTTGGCCACAGCAGGCAATTTGGGGTAAATTCATCTTTCTTTGCTAAAGGAAAAAAAAAAAAGAATCCTTCTTTTATTCTCCATCCATGGGTGGTGATAGCAGACAGCTCCAGGAGAGTCTCTAGCAATGGTACCAGGACTGGGTCAACTTCCTTTTCTCTCTAGGTAGCCTCTTGCTACTCACGGAGCAACCTATATGGATTTCCTCCTCCCAAGAGCATGAAGGCCTTTGCTCATCCCTAGGCAACATTGGGACACTGGAGTAAGTCCCTCCTTTTCTCTGGTTGGTTTTGATGGGCTTGGCCCTAGATCAAACTGGTTATGGATGAGCAGAGAGAGAAAAGTGCATGAAGAGGTGTCCATTGGTGGGAAGCTCTCCTTCCTGGTCATGCTCAGCACGATGGATGCGAGGCAGGAAGAAGAGGGGAGTCAGCAACGAAGGCAGAGTTAATGCAGGAGAACTGGTGTCAAGTGGCTGCAGTGTTAAAGCCTCGGGGTTAGAGAAAAGAAGGGCATTTGGTCTGCCTGGGCTCCACCGTGGGCTAGAACTTGGTGCCTCGGCCCATCAGCTTGAGGACAGCAAAGTTGTAGGTGGCGGCGATGATGAACGTGAGCTGTAGGTGGGAAGAGAGTGAGCGAGGGGGGAGGAGAAATCGAGCTCCCGCAGGTGAGAAGGGCAAGTGGGTGGGACTCCTCCCTGGGGTACACCTGAGGTGCCATCCCCTGGCTCAGCACCCCAACAGGGATGTTGCCCCAAGGAGGCTGTGGCCCCACCTCACCAGCCGGACACTGCAGTGTCTCATCACCAGTGTAAGGCGAGAGCAGAGCTTGGGAAAGGCAGGGGACTCAGCACACAGGGAGCAGGATCTCTCCCCAGTGGTCTCCTAGAGCCTCAACAGATCCCCTCCAGCAGCCACCTCTACCTTCTTATGGCATGAATTTGCCAGCTGCACGTATGTGCCAGAAAATGACACAAGTACGGGCTCTGTCACATCCATGCCCACCACCTCCATTGTCCTCTGCCCCCATGTCCTCACTGGGCGGAGGAGAATGACCAGACAGGGGGAGCACTGACTCACCAGTGAGACCAGCGTGGCAGCCGCCCCCACAAAGGCCGCAATGAAGAGATGGAAAGTCATCTGGAACTGCAAGGGAAGAGGCAGGTGAGCTCCTGGGGTCCCACATGGCAGCTGGGTAGGCCAGTGCCAAGGCCACCCACTGAGAGGAGTGCATATGGGATGACAGGAGGTGCTCACCTCACTGGTCTTGCAGACGGAGAGCAAGTTGGAGCCACACACCTTTCCTGGGAAAGCATTCCAGGGCAGCACACCTGGTGAGACACAGGGAGCTGAGTGAGCAGGGCACAGCCTCCAGTCTTGCTCAGCTTCCCTCACACCCCCTGGTGTTTCAGGGCTCTTCAGCACTTGCCTCTGCTTTGTCCCAGCCTTATTCACCTGGACCCTCTCTTCCATCCCCTCTCCTCCTCCCTGAGCCCTGGTTCCTGGGTGGTGAATCCAGCACTCACCGTACATCCTGGCATCTGCACACAGGGTGCCAATGCTGGCCGAGGTCTTGCTGGGGTTGGCAATGGACTGGCAGGTGGTCCAAGTGTTAAAGTAGATGTAGACGGGCACCGCAGAGCAGGCAAAGACCAGGAGCCAGATGATGGTCAGGACATAAGTAATGCCCACAAACTACAAGGGGCAGGACAAGTCAGGGCAGAGCTATGGTTACCAAGTGGCCAAGAACATGGACATGGGAGCAGGAGGGTCCCCAGACAGGAGAGGCTGCAGGGCAGGCCGGGTAATGAGCTGCTGCCTGCATCCAGCTCCACACCGCCCGCCAACCCCGACGTGTCCCCAAGCAGCCAGCATGGAGCAGCAGCCTGAGCTGGCCACCACTGCAGCTCATGGGGCCAGCACCCGCCCC